GTTAAGTTTGTATGTTCGGCTGGTGTAACAGCACGGAATGATAAATCGTATTCCAATTGCAGTCGCGTTCATTGTATTCCGCAAATAAACTTGGTTAAGGCATGAACCCACCTTTCCCCGCTACCTCAGCTGTGGATTAATTACTAGGACTTGTATCAAGAAATCATTATAATCTCAAAAACTATTCTTACAATCTTTGAATATTTACTGGCTTAAAATAACCTAACAAAAGGTTGTTAAACCGTAAAAAACAATCAATCTATCCACAGGAGATTGGAACTGGAAAGACGCTCATACATAAACTCAGAAAGATGCGTTTGAAATTTCTGGGAGAAATTATTAGGAATTTACGGTTTAAAGAACTTAATACTTGCAGGATGTTTTAAGAAAGAAGCGTCCAAAGAGAAAGAACGAGAATGGATGACAGAACAAAGAGGGGTGATGATAAAGATGAAAATGTTGCCATGAGCTACAAGAGACAGGAAATTGTGAAGATCTATAATCGCCAACGTCCTGAACGGACAAGTTTGATTTGGTTTATTTTGTTTTACGGCATATCAACCTCAATGGGTTATTTAATACCGACAACATTTTTAGGATAGAGTCGTATAAATAGAATATGCATTCTTTGGCTTAGATTGGTTTGGTTTATTTTGTTTAACGGCATATCAAACTCAATGGGTTATTTAATGCTGACAAATTTTTTAGGATAGATTCGTATGAATAGAATATGTATTCTTTGGTTTAGATTGGTTTGGTTTATTTTATTTTACGGCATATCAACCTCAATGGGTTATTTAATGCCGACAACATTTTTAGGATAGATTCGTATGAATAGGATATGTATTCTTTGGTTTAGATTGGCTTATTTCATTTTGTTTTACGGCATATCAACCTCAATGGGTTATTTAATGCTGACAAAAAAATTGTATTGCTGGTAATAATTTTTTCGAAAAAGTATTGCTGGTAATATTTAACTATATGCCCATAGCTGGGACCCTAACATGTGCTACTACCCCGGGTTAGGGTGAACCTGGGAACACCAGCAATTAAGAGGTGGTTCCACGCTCCTCAAAACCTCTTGAACAGAGGCCTTTCTGCTGGACGTAGTTTAACGTCTTACCCACGACGCGGATGTATTTTAACGTCTTACCCAGGACGCCCTGAACGGGCAAGATACATCAATGATGATGATGATTTATTTATTTATAGTAAACCACTAGCAGCATGGTCCGGTGTTGCCCGTGCTTGGTTAAAAAATCGTACGACTCATACAGCAATCGCTATCACTTGACTTAAAATATGTTTGCCCTTCCTTGCCTTTAAAGGAGCGCCCTTTGTCGTGCTGATATTGCTACATGCCTTACGTCTTGCCTATCTCACACTGCGAATTTTTTCTAAGCTCTATACTAAACATTAAATCTGTTACGAAAAAAGAACGAAACAAAATGAACACAAAACGATCAGCTTTAAAAAAAAAAGGACTCGTAACTGGAAAAAACCGAATGAAAAAAGAATGTTAACAACAAATACTTTTGCACACCCAACCCAGTTCTGCGGAATCAGAATCAACGTTGAGTTTAAGCAAGCGAATGAGCCAATTGGAGTAAAGTGCCATGCAGATTTAAATTTTTCCCACTTGTGACGAATGCAGTTATCGATTTTTTTGCATGCTAACATGCTAGTGAACATTCGTGTCAGTCAGCTGTTGGCTCTCACGCTGGCCAATAGAATCTTCCTGCCTATTCGTGGCAGCTATAGGTTCTCACTCTGGCCAGTAGAAAATGGCCGCAAACTACATGAAAACTGCCGTAGAAGCATGAAAAAATCGATTATTTCCACTATCGATCGGATTTGGGAAATGCAAAGTCGATCTTGGCCTTACCGCTAACTTGGAGCATGTGCATGTAAATTTTGGTGCAAATCCGTCGAAAATTGCGGCCGTGCATTCGTTACACACACACACACATCCTACCTTTTATAGACAGAGATAAAGTAAAAAATGGTGTTTTCTTCTTGGTTAAAAAATCATTTTATATTTTTTTATACATCAGTGGAGTACCTTTGTGTATGTGTCACACTTCTGAAATATTTTCGTCATATCTCACTCCCAGTAACCACTTGCGTCTTAGTGGCATTATCGTCTTGCTTGCGGTGAATTGATTTTAAAAAAATGATCAAACACACGGCAACGACTGAACATAGAAAGATAAATTCAAACAACAGAAATAGAATGAAAACGCCGGAAATTATTCCGAAGAGATGCTCGGTCCAATGGGAATCAGGCGTAGGTCGTTTCATCTTTGGTGCCTATTACAAAGTGTGTGGTCTTAATCAATTGTGAGGGGGGGGGATTTTTTATCAGCATGAAAGAAACGAGATGGATCTTAATAAAAGGGAGTTGGAAAATCATTAAAAAGTTTCAAAAGTGTGAAATTAATAAACTAGGCGATTTTAATAAGGTCGTGCGAGCCGGAAAATTTTCCACAAAATATAAATGCCACCAATCGTCTATAATACGCCTAAGAATATACACGAAACAGCTGGTATCTAGAACCACGTGATTCAATCACCTCCGAGAGCGTAGAAATCATTGGACACTTACTGTTGCTATGATATTCTTATTATTGCCACAATAACCAGTCATCACCTTCAAAACTTTTATTTTCCCTCGGTAAATTATTCACAATTGTTTCGTAATATATGGACCTCGACATATCGATTTTCATTGATTAAAAATTATATTAAGAAAAGCGATCTTCATCTCTTCACACTTTGTCAAAAATTTACATCATAAAGTAAACCATATTTTGTATGGAAAATATTTCTTCTTATGCGGTAATATTGACTAAAATCGAACGATAACAGCCGCCATCTTTTTTATACTAGTTTAGCAATTCGCGTTTGATAAACTAGGTCACAAAGAACTGCTAGAATTGCCAGATAACCTTGACATATGTGGGAAGGATATTAGAATTAATCAAAGCCTATATAGTCAGCAAACCGATAGCATACGGGTTGGAAATGAGTTTAGTAAATATACAAAACTGAAAAGGGGTGTAACACAAAGATGCTTCGTCTCATCAGACCTTTTTCAACCTGTACAGTGAGGTGATTCTGGGAGAATTAGAAGTTCTACCAGGATTCATTATTGTCGGCCACAATCTTAACAATATAAGATATGAAGATGATACAGCGTCGATAGCAGACGGAGAAAATAAACCACAAGGACTCCTAAAAGAATGTAAAAAGGGAAAGCGAGAAGAAATGAGTAAATATCAATTGCAAAAAGAATGAATGCATGTTTGTTAGCAAAATGGCGAGTCCAGCTTGTAAATTACAGATTGGGGTTACAAAAATCAAACACGGGCAACAGTTTAAATATCTGGGAAGTGTTTTAACCGAAGACGGAAACTACGACACGGATATCCGAAGACTCGTTGGATTAATGAAAGATGCCTTCCAAAAGGCAACCCTAACTTAACCGTATCCCTAAATCAAGAAACAGAAAAAAAATATCGTCAGAAACAAAGAAAAGAGAACTGAATTGCTATGTACTGAATGACAATCTCTGCACCGACAACAAAGAAACGTGAGACAACAGAAATATGGTTCTACAGAAAGATACTGAGAATACCATGGACTGAATTCTAGAGACAATGGCAAGAAAAAGAACATTTATGCTTACCATCAGGAAGAGACGGTTGAAATTTCTTGTGCACATAACGATGAAAGAGAAGAAGAAGAAGAAGAAGAAGAAGAAGAAGAAGAAAAAGAGGAAGAGGAAGAGGAAGAAGAAGAAGAAGAAGAAGAAGAAGAAGAAGATCTCATACTAAAATGGCGTTAGAGTGAAAATGTGAAGGATAAATTTGAAACATGTTTAATCCAGTGGAGAGAGAAGGGAGATCACCGCCCTATGTTGGATCAGGTTGAGATCATAGATAAAGAACACCATTGGAAAAATTCGAAAACTTAAGGAATCAGCACATATGCTAGGCCACAAAAAACTCCTGAGTCGACCAAGCATAGAAATGCATACAATATGGGAACCAGTAATAAAGAGTGCCAGAGAAAAGCGATAATAACAAAAAAAATTGCAATATGAGCTCTGGTAAAAACATGAAATGATAACAGCAAAATTGCAATATGAGCACTGGTAAAAAAGTTTGCTGAAGACATTAGGTTTATAATACCCAGAAAGTCATACACAGGTGTCCACAAGGCACAGTGGATAAAGGCGTTAGTTAAATCCAGTGACAAGACCCAAAGAGTGTGAGTTCAATACCCAGTTAAGGCTGTGGAGAGGGAAATTAACAGGAGATAACTAATAGCTGACATCCATTAAACGTGCAACTAGAACCCTCTACCCCAGTGAGCAAAATAAAGGGTTCAGTTTGTAGCTATAAACACTTTTCTTCTTCTTCTTCGAAACGTTGTAATAAATATGGCGACAAAGATGAGGACAATATTACGAATAATGTACATAATATAAACAGATACCAGTGTTTGTCCTTTTCGCGTACAACGATTTTATTTAAATTGGGGCCTAACTTCGCAAAAGTTCTATGTCACTCTTACAGAGATCAGTTTGCTCATTTGGAAAATGGAAAAATACTTGCGGGTGTACGTTAAATTACGCCATTTTTTTAGAATTACACACCCGAAACGCTCTATATATTTAATATTAGTCTCAGACCTTAAATAAGGTATTGTTAGCATATCTGGCCAGAATATACCAAATCTTTACTTACCCACCTTGATAGAGTTCAAAAGCGTTTACGGCCTTGTGAATAATGAATTGTTTTCCACATTATCACACATTTTCCCGGATATGAAACGTTATAAACCTTCCACTATGATAATGCTATTTCCGTGGGAAATTTTCTGACAGGCAATATTCATTAGATCAATTAGTTCAGACCTTTCCAATTAAGGCCCGTCAAGACACGTACACGCGATCAAATCATCTTCATTTATTACCTATTCCATTGTTTAAAAAC